TATGCAAAAACGAAGGGACCCAGTCCACCAAAGAGACATGTAACCTTATGTACATTTTTTCATAGTGTTTCTTAACAAGGTGCTAATATATTCCTAACACACTGGGAACCACTATTAGTAGTAACTTTAAAAATATTTATTTTAAATTGTGTATGTGTGGGGGTGGTGGGGTGGTGGTGGTGCACATGAGTAAAGGTTTTCTCAGAGGCCAAAAATGGATTGGATCCTCTGGAACTGGTGTTACAGGAGGTTGCAAGCCATTCAGTGTGGGTGCTGGGAACCCAGCTTGGGTCCTCTGCAAGACCATCACAGGCTCTTAACCAATGAGCCATCTCTCCAGTACCTGGTAGTAATTATTAATGGAGATGTTTAGTAATTATTAATCATGAAAGCCAATGGTTAAAATATAAAATTTTAAAAAAATTATTGCATTTTAGAACCCTTGTAGTTACTCTTTACTCTATCATATAGTAGCATGACATTTGCAGGTTGGGACATTGGTGTCTACCTTACCACACCCAGTACCATGATTTCAGTGACAGGCAATTATTGTTCATCTTCTCTTACCACTCTGCATGTTTTTTTAACCCCCACTCCCCCTGTGTCTTATTTGCAAAGTGATTAGAAGTAGGCACTTTGATGAATCTTGCTTCATAGATGAGGGCATCAGACACAAGAGTTAAATACTTGTCTATAGCAACATACTAGGTGGCAGAGGTTGGTTTTCTATGCTTGATTCAGTTTGCTAAATGTCCTTTAGTTTCAGAGATGTTATCCCAAATGACAGGATTTTGCCTTTTCATGGCTGACCAGTGTTTCATTGTGTATATGTAGCACACTTTCTTTAGGAATTCGTTTGATGACTGAATTCATTTCCTCTCATATTTTGGTTATTGTGACTAACTTAACAATAAACATGGGCATGCAGCTGTATCTCTTATGATGGTTAGCTTTAAGAGTCAACTTGACATAACCTAGAGTCACTTAGGAAGAGCCTTTCAATGAATGATTGCCTACATTGGGTTTGCCTGTAAGCATGTTTTAGTGACCTTGAGTTAAATTAATTGGTGTAGGAAGACCTAGCCCACTGTAGGCAGCACTGTTCAGGGGCTCTGAGTTGTGTAATAAGAGAAACAGAGCAGCAAAAAAGCACACACATGTGCATGCATTCATTTTTCTCCATTCAGGACCATGGATGTAACATAACCAGTTGTCTTAAGATTCTGCTGCTGTGACCTCACAGAGATGGACTTGTAACCTGGAAGTATGAGCTAAAGGGCACTTGCTGTCCCCTAAATGACTTGTTACCATGGAATTTTATTACAGCAACATATGTGAAATTAGGACATCTTTGAAATACTGATTTAATTTCTTTGGGTAAACTCACAGCATTTACCTTTACACTGGAAGACTACATCACAGAGCAGAGAATGTTTTCTTTGTTACTTTGGAAACTTCAGTATTGTTTCTCATAACATGTTCACGCTCTCACTAAAACACTTCTGTTTAACAAGAGACATAATTGGTAGAGCAGAGAGATCCCAACAGAAAGAACAGCAGAAAATATTTACAGTCCTTTGTCTCATATGGGGCTAAATATTCAGAGAAAGATAGACTCATTAGCAGAGTTAAAGGGAGCTTGATAAAAGGTAGGCACTAAACCTAAAGAGATGTCTCTCAAAGGAAGATGCATACACAGACAGCTGACATAGGGAAAGTGCCCTGTGTCCTTAATTGTCAAGGGACAAAATCAAAGCCACAGGACATCCTCACCTCACCAGGTCAGAATGGCACCACCTACTTCCTCTATGTGTCCTTTGGAGAGTAGATGTGTCTTTAATTCCCCATGTCTTAGATAATGTGTCCTTTGATAAACATTCTGAATTACCCTTGTAGATTCAGGGCTCTCACCCAGGGTGACTTGAGGATTTGGGTGACTGGCCAACAAGACCACACTCATCTCTGTGTTTCAGGAGGGCACCTGTTCCACAGCCAATGCCATTACACAGCAAAAGAAGATGGTGGAAATGTGTGTACTGGAATGCTGCAACCTATGCAGTAGAAGGGGTGATTTTTTCCCCCGTAAAAGTTGAGCTCTTTTGTAATGGCATGTATAAAACACCAGGAAGAACCAAGCTATTACTACAATGAGCTCTAACATGATGGTGGTACATATGTATTTCTTCACACTTACAAAAAAGCCCTAGGAGAGACTAAATGATTAGTTTGAGAGAATTTACTTCTCACAGTCTTTAATTTGAAAGCCACCGACATCATAGTGTCATGGAGAAATGAAAAGAAAGATGTATGCAAACAATACAGATGACTAGCATTCTTTACTTTTATTACTAATAAATAGCCAGATGTTTATTTAAAAAATCCCCTTTGCATTTAATCTGGAACAAATGGCTTTTCGTGATAATTCCTACATGCAAAGCCTTTCAGGTTTGCTATTGTCTGGCAACTAAATGAGTTTCTCTAAGTCTCAGGGGTCCTCAGCGGCATCTGACTGGATTGTCCCCTCTGCTCCTGTTCTGAAACGATAAGAAATCGGCACAGAGACAACAAAGCCATGCTCAGGACACAGCATTTCCTACCAACTATCCCATTTATGGAGAACAATGTGTATCTCCAGGAGAACCCTTCAAGAAATGATGCCCTTGGCCTTGGAAGCTTTTCTCCACATGGAATTTCCAATCAGTTGAAGTGGAAGCAATCAGGTGGCCTAACTGCATAGCCACAACTCTAGTTTGCTTGTTTATTGATTTTTGACACAGTCCCAGGCTGAATCCCAGCTTCCTATGTAGCCGAGGAGGACTTGAACTCTGGATCCTCCTGTCTCTGCTTGTGCTACTGCCATGCCTGAGTTTTGCCATACTGGGGACTGAAGCCCGCTTGGCAAACTATCTGCCAACTGAGTGCTACCTGTCCTGCTCAGGTCATTTTGCATTGGTGCTGAGCTCATCGAGGAGAAGGTTGTCTGCCCTCAGTGGAGACGTTCTTCTCTTACTCTTAGATAACAAAATAAATAATTTGAGACTCTTAGAGATTCTAGAAGAGGACAAACACTTGACATTATCCCTTTATTATCAACGTCTGTTAGAGGATGGAAGAACGGGCTCTTGAGAATACCAACAGGACTTAGCCTGAAAGAGTGTATTAATTTCCTCACAAAGCCACAGCAGGCCCTTGACCATGTTCTGACTTGTTTGAAAATGTAAGGTTCAGTTGAACAAGCTTTCTTTTAAAAGCTGGAGTCATTCTGTAAACATTTTGTTCCATTTAATTACTTTGAGTCAGAGGGTAAAGAGGAAAAGTTTTTATTGCTTGCCTTTCAAACTAAATGTGGGTGCAATAAGACACACTCAGGATAGTAGCTCATTTGCTTCCTTGGTGACAATGCATACTTCCCATGATGCTCCTCCTGGGAACTTGCAGGGTTTCACTTAGTGAGGCTACATACCAAATTTCATCACGAAGCACAGCAGACTTAGCCTATTTAACAATTATTACACTTATTTGTTGGTTGTGTGTGTGGTTGGTTATGTATGTATGTGGGAACATGTGTCTGAGGGCACACAGGTAGCACTCAGGACAATCACTGGAGTCGTTTCTTTCCTTCTGCCATTCAGGTACTTGGATTAGAGTGGGGTTGTTAGGCTTAGTAGCAAGTGTCTTTACCTGCAGAGTCAGTTTGCCGGCCCACAATGTCCTTACTTAGGGTGTGACTATACAAGGACTCTACAGGGATCTGAACAACTTGCCTGCAGTGAGAAACCTGGCAAGGTATACTTACGCAATTTTCTGACAGTTGCTCATGTGAGTCTCAGCTATGGTCTGGTAGACAAGTCTTTAGATGTGTCCCTCCTGATGACAGTTGGTATGAGTGTGCTCATGGCTCTTCTTTTGGTTTTAGCACATCATTTTCCATCCTTCTTTTTGTCTTATAAAGCTTTTTTTTTGGTTCCCGATGACTTCACTCCATGCATGTAGAATGCTTATGAACTGACAGTCCCAGAAAAAACTGCCTCAGTGCCCCAAATTCTCCAAGGTTGATTGGATTGACCCATCAGAACCTCTGTTATTGTGAGTCTGCAATGCTGCTGATCTGGAGCCAAATTATCTGGATTTATCTTTAGCCCCATAACAACAGCCATTTATATCCCACCTCTGTTTCTGACGTAATTTCATTGTGAAGATCAGGGAGCTCTTCAAGGCTTCTTAAGAATTCTCTCTCTTTCTCCCCCCTCTCTCTCCCTCTCTCTCCCTCCGTCCCTCCGTCCCTCCGTCCCTCCGTCCCTCCGTCCCTCCGTCCCTCCGTCCCTCCGTCCCTCCGTCCGTCCGTCCCTCCCTCCCTCCCTCCTTCCCTCTGTCTCTCTCTCTCTGTCTCTCTCTCTCTCTCTCTCTCTCTCTCTCTCTCTCTCTCTCTCTCTCTCTCTCTCTCTCTCTGTGTATGCCCATGCTATGGCTTCCATGTGGAGGCCAGAGGACAGCTTGTAGGCGTTGGTTCTCTCATTCCACCACTGTACTCAGGTTGTTAGTCTTGGTGGCATGTGCCCTTGCCTCCTTCTCTGTGCCTCACTCAGTAAATCTTTCGGAATGTATTAACTCCCACCATTTTGGAGAGTATTAGCTTCTACCAACTAGGAAGTAAAACCTTATAGAAGTCGAGGGTTACAGCCTATGGAGATACTTCTCAGCTTTGACGTAGCTGCTTTCTTGATGTTCTCTCTGGGAATTTAAAAATTGCCTGATATACGACCAGTTTTGTTCTAGCGCTGTCCAGATACAGTCAGCCAGCTGAGTACCGCTCTGAACAGTCACACCTCTTCCTTTATTACATGGATGCGGTTTTACTGAAAGTTCAACAAATCGGGGAGGTAGCCTTTGTTTGCACTTCTCTTTAAGTTAAAAGTTTGTTGTATCTTTTCACCTCAAGTCAGTTCTACCTTTTTCTTTTCTATTGCAACATTGATGAAACATCAAAGAATTGAGATTTACTCTGGAGACATGCCAAGGGACTCCAAAAGGCCACAGAGGATTTCAACTAAAATCCAAAAGCCACAGAGAGGTTTCCTGACAACACACCATGGAAAAAAAGCCTCTACTCGCTCACCACTGCCACTACCTCAGCTGAGGTTACTGTGTTTGTGCATCAACCCAGACTCTTCACATTGAGGGGAAAATGGAATGTAAGTTATGTGTGACATTACGTAAGTAGGCTACAGCACTGATCCACTCGAGGACCCTTTGTATGACCATGCTCCACCATCATTCTCTGTTCCTTTAAAGTGAGGAGAGAGATGGGTCACTTGAGATAGTACTTTTGTTGGTTGCATCCCTAACCCTGCATGAAGTAACCGGAGGCAGGGGGATCAGATGTTTAATATTGTCCTGGCCTACTTAACACGTATGAGGTCAGCTTACAAGACATGAGATCCTACATAAAGGAAATTAGAAGTAATAAGATAGAATACTATGCAGGAGAACACAAGCAGTGGATATGCAGAATTGAGTATGAGAAGGCACTAGACAAAGGGAACCTTCAGAGGCAGCTAGCGTCTAAGCCACCCAGCAGATTGCTGTCTGGCTGATTAATTTTAACTACATACTAGAATGTTCCGAGGTGTCATGAGCTCTGTGGGTTCTTAGCAGAAAGATTGGTGTGCAGTTTCTCACTGCAGCTTCAATGTCACGGTGAACAATTTTCCCTTAAGACAAAATTTTTGAACTTTAGGTATTTGAATAAGGGAATTGAGCTTTTAATCTCAAAAGTGCCTTGGTGTCTTACACGGTTCACAGAGAGTTGAGGCTGGATGCTTCTGGAAGGTACTTCTCTACGGTGTCTTGACTATGAACCTTTGATCTTTGGGAGTACAAGACCAAATCGAGACTTGTCATAAAAATTATGTATAGCACTGGGATTAGAATGTGGGCTTTGTCTAGAAGAGCTTTTCACCTGCTGTGTATGGGTAAAGCAGAAGGCGTTTGGGATGTGAAATTGTTTTTATATAGCATTGAGTAAGATTTTTCTCTAATTCTTTGATCCCCAATTATAGCCTCTCTAGCTTTTTCTCTTGGTTCTAAAGCACTCTTTAAGAGCATTTCATTGTGACCTTTTTGAAGGACTAATCTCAGCCCCAGCAGCAACACCAGTCTCTCATTCAGGTGACCCACAAAGATGGTTCATGGCACACTGAATCATCTCTCTCATGATCATGTTGGTTTAAGAGATGCTGTGAAGTTCAGTGCTGGGGAATGCCATCCATGGTATAACCACAGGGGGTTTATTTAAAGAAAATAGAATTTAAAAACACACTTTCTGTTAGGGTTAGTAACAACTTTCTTTTTAGGAGAAATTGCAGAGTTGATGTTGAGTGGAACAGAGAGCAAATAAAGGTAGTTTTTTTTTATTATTTGTTTTTTTTTCCTAGAAGCAAATGATACTTCAGTGCTTGTTGACACGAGGCATGAGCCAGATCTGCTGACCCACTCATCTCCTGGGGTTCTGTTAGCTGGGATGTAGACATGAGCTTGGCCAGGGGACGTCACCTATTCAGTAATTAGGAGACTGGCTGCTATGGAAACAGCCATTCATTTCTATCTAAAGACCTAGCTTTCACCACGTTACAAAAAAAGTAACTTTTAGATATATTAAGCCCAAACAAATGCAATTTTGAAGAAATATTATTTTTTTTAATGGGGATTGAAGTTTAAGTTCCTTTGATTTTTCAAGGCCTCTTTGAAATCTCCTGACTATGATGCTTGTTCTGAACAGCTCGATGAGAGCTACCAGATGAATGCATTGTTGGAGGTTGTGGAATAGCAGTGAACCGATGGGGCCCATGGACATCAGGCTGTACCCTTGGCGACTGTCTATTTGGTTGATGTGTTTGATCAGACAAGACACAAAACAACACGCCTATGGAGCAATCTGTGGAAGTGGCAGATGTGTTGAGGTCACATGAAACGATGCTGACGTCTGTTTCCCCCTCCTCGTGTCTGCTCACGAGGACCTTAGGTGGGGAAGGTAAACGTTTGCCCACAAACTGTTCATTTTAGGTGGGGTCACATTTCTGGGTGGCTTTGCTAGTAGCTATGACTTGTCAAGGTATCTGGGTCACAGTGGTCAAACCATTGGCTCTGTGACGAGAAGGCGATGAGAAGACTAAGTGGAATCCCAAATGTGGATCGGATGCAGTGACAAACTGAAAAGCATTAAAGCACTTGGGATTTGGAGTGACATCGCCCGGTCTCTCTGCTGAAATCGCCCATTACTGAACTCTCACACGTAGTGATTCACTGATGTGTGGCCTGCTTCCTGGAACCTCATCTCTCTCTCTCTTTCATGAGGGCTAGCATAGCATGACTTGCCAAACCAAGAGGAGGGAAGCTGTTATATAGGTTGGAAATTCTACCACTATTTCTCTAATTCAATTTTCTGTTACATCGCCATTACACATTCCGAGTGCTGATTTCCTGGTCATTATCAGGGGTATTAAAGGTTCGTATCTAGACATACAATCTCACGTGCCTCGGCATTGTTGCAGTGCGCCACGTGTGAACTTGAACTTAATTGACTGCTTTCTTTGTGCCGCTCTTATTCTGCCAAATGAGGATTTCTTGGAAGGCAATTTAGGCCCCTCTGCAGAACTATCCATTGTTTATGTTCACAGACTGGAGCAGTCCTTGCTTCAGTATAGTCTTTCACCTCTTACACATTTAATTAAAGCCATGAGCTCTTTCTTTGCGCCGTCCCGTCCCCCCCCCCCCCGGCCTTTCCTAGGGCAAGCCTAGAGCTCCACTCCCACAGCTGGGTATCTGTTACTCAGGTCACAGGACTGGCGGAGCTATGTCACAGCTCTGCAGTCATGGCTCCCTAAGGCCTGTGCTTATGTTTGGTCCTTCCCCCTACCGCTTTTCTGCCCTCTCTCCATTCCCATTCTTGTTTTAAGTAGAGCAGGAAAAGCTCGCATGGGAAAAAGCAGTATTTGTTCATGTTAATGCTCTAAGCAAATTTGGTTTTGAGTAGAGAATAATACGTATCATATTAATTTGTGAGTGATGAGGAAGTAAGGTTTATAAATTTTGGACAAAGATTGCTGACGAGATTTTTTTTTCTAATCAGTATCTGATAATCTTATCCACAAGGCATAATTTATTTTTGTTTTCTTAGCTATAGTTACAAATGATTGAAATCTGGAGATTAAATGTCAGCGTCGGTTGGCTGCCCAATACAAATGGTTTTATATGTCGAGAACCTGGACACCAACATGTATTAGAGGTAATGGATAATTTTATTTTAAAATATTTATGATTTTAATATTACCTGTGATAAAAGGCCCCCCACATTGAGCTTTAGCTAGGTAAAATTTCATTAAAAGTATAAGCACTGTATTTTCTGTCTAGAAAAGCGGCGAGGCTAAACCTTATTAAATTGTCGGCAAAATGTCATAAAAATTCAGCTGTACCATAATTTCCAGTGACACTGTGAGCCTCCTTATGGGGCATGGGCAAACAGACAATGCTTGAGTTGGTAAACACTGTAACCAATAAGTTCTCATGCTTGCCTATGCAATGTTGCAAATACCTTATATTTAATTTTCCCTTCTTTGTGAGAAACCTGAGTTGAAAGAATTATGTAAACACACCAGCCTCAGCTGAGGAGGTGGCAGGGAGTGGGGTGGAGGTGGAGTGGGGAATGGGGGGGGTGAATGAGGGGGTGAATGAGGCAAGAATTTTCCTCAGTGGTTGGTCACAAGACCTCTGAGTTTTTGAATTTTAGTTGAAATCCCCTTTGTAGCCTTTTGGAATCCTTTACTGTATCTCCAGCTATTTGACATTTCGTCAATGTTGCAGTGGGAAGAAAGGTAGAATTGACCTGGAATGAAAAGATGCAACACACTTTCAACTTAAAAAAAAAGAAGAAAAACCCTGTACAATGGTAGGTAACAAGAAAGCAGAGCCTTTGAACTTTGTGAAAGAATTCTGGAATGCCTGGAAATTTTGGGGGTTCTGTAAAACAGGCAATCTGGGGTGTAGAAGAAGAGCACTAATCAATTTAAGTTCACCTTCTAAAGTGGTCCAGGAACCAAATTCCCTTAATGATTTTACCCATGAAGTCCCAGACTGACTCCTATAAACCTATGGTGAAAGCCATACCATTCCGTGGCTCTGCCAAGAGACCCCCAAGAACTCATCATTGTTGAGCATTAGAGTCAGCTTTCCAGGAGAGCTGGCCAGCTTCCCAGCTGAAAAAGCCAAACTTTGCCTCTCTGATGTCATTTTCTGTCCCGATGAAAAGCCTTTCACGATTCTGCAGCCCTTTGACCAAGCAGTAGTTTCTGCTGTGTCAGAAAGTATTCCTCAGAGCTCCTCCCCTGCAAGCACAGAACCTCAGCTATTGCATAGTAAGAGGTGATATGGTCCCGAGGCAGGGCTGAGCAGGTACCACACCAGTATCCACAGCATAGGAAACAGGCAGCCAAGTTTTCCAGCCTCCACAGGGTGGTCCAGAACCATCAGCTTCTGTACAGCTTCCAGGACTGTAATGAGTGCTTTGTGGATAATATCCTTTACAATATCCACATGGATGCCATGGGTAGGAGAATCCTTTCAGTGTGATATGTGTGGGTACAGATGTTAAAACAAGTATGATTTTGACTGTTATTTTTTAGTAAATGTGTTTAGTACATGACTTGTACTGAACACAGTGAACACTGTTCTCAATTGGTTTGCCTTCTGAGGGGGGGTTTGTAGTTTGGGTTTTGGTTTTGAAATAACCACAAGAGAAAGTTACAGATCATCACCAGTCTTTAGGAAATCAATTATAATGGAGTATATTGAGTACTCTAGCAGGCTGACCAAGAGTAGACTTAAACCTGGGAAAGATTCTATGCTAAGACAAGGGAGAGTAGGGCTTTTAAACTCAAAAGGCTATAGATATATCATACCTGGTGCAGGCCAGGGGGACTTTACATTTTGGCCCTTGTTCAGCATTGTAATGTGAGTTCTAATAAGTCATAATAATAAAAGCTGGAGTCAGAATCTGGGGTAAAAGCAGAAAGATCAGAGAGATGAAGGAGCAAGTCTCAGCCACACTTCCCAGCTGAAAAGATAGCAAGTTCCTGTTTCCTCCTGCCTATAATCCTTTCTCCACCCAGCCATCTCACTTCCTGTCTCTGTCCAGCCATCTCACTTCCTGTCTGTCTGTTAGCTAGTAGCAAACTCCACCCTCTGATCTTCAGAATCGCTTTATTTGCATAAACAAGTGTCACCACACAATATCATATCTGGTGTAGACCAGGGGGTCTTTACGATGTAACCTCTGCTCTGGTGCAACACCACACAGGACAGTTCCTCCAAAGGAACCAAGCTGTTTTTATACATCAGCACCCTTTCTCAGCAGGGAAGGAGGGTCCTTTGGATTTTGGAAAATGCTTTATTAAGTGAAAAGCCATTTGTTTTCAGGAAAATATGGTTCCCCAGGTGCCCTGACCCTTCCTAAGCCATTTGTTTGCAGGCAAATGTGGCTTCCAAGTTGGTCATCTTTAATAATGTATCTGCTAATTTAAAAACTGTACATTCTATTCATGAACTATACATTTGATAGTGAAAAAAGGTTTTGTTAGCTTTTCATAAAAGTCTGGTCAGGGTTATTTATGCATTAGTCAGTTAGATGCAGTGATACCTTTTTCATTTAGTCCTGTGAGAGTTGAAATACAGCCGTAATCTTACCAGTTTTTCTATACTTATAAGTTTTTCTATACTTGTCCATAGTCTCCCAGGGTTATCTGTACTCCTGATACTTCAGTATATACATTGCAATGAAATATTTTTTCTACCATATTTTAATCTGGTAGAATAAACCTTTTCTGTTGTGAAATTTGTGTCATAGTTTGTGTTACCATCACTTTGATGAAACATGTTGGCAAACGCAAGTGGGGAGGAAAGAGTTTGTTTGGCTTACACTTCTGCATACATGTAGTCCATCACTGAGGGAAGTCGGGACGTGAGCTCAAACAGGACATGAATCTGGAGGCTAAATAAATTTAGAATGGTCCATTTCAAGTAGGAAGCTGGTGTGTGTGTGTGTGTGTGTGTGTGTGTGTTAGCTTATTCTGAAGAGAACTTAGCAAAATGATACAACATTGTTACTTACTATTTGTTTCTATGTACTTTGTAAAAATTTAATTTTTAAAAATTTGTTAATATCTTGTGATTATTCTTAATTGACTTCTTAAAGAAATATTCTGTCAAACATTTGTTAATCAGAAATGACCTCTTATAGTGAAGAGGGAAATATTAAGGTTATCTACCCATTAAACCCCAAGTGCACTCTCTCTCCCTGTGCTAGGAAGCCATTCAGAGGGTACCATGTTTGCCAGTCTAGGCTCATCCTGACTGCAATGTTTACAATGTAGTACCAAAGACACTTCCTCCAAAGGAATTCTCTTATGACCCTGACTTTCTAGTCACTTCGGTCTGATCTTAAATCACTCACTGTTTCCATCAGCTTTAGTACAATATTTTCCATATACATAACTGGACTCTAGTACTTAATACTTTCCAGAAAAATAAAGGTTTTTATTTGGAAACTTTGCTATTTTAAAAGTTTTATTCATCTGAAGGCAATACTCCCCAATAGACAATGAAAACGGTCCCAGAAGAGGTAGAAGCCCAGTGTGCTGAGGCATGCCTTTAGTTGTAGCTGCTTAGGCGACTGAGGTGGGAACATTGCTAGACCCTAGGAATTCTCTGCCAGACTGGGAACCATTACAAGCCCAACAGGAAAGAGTCCCGCTCCAACCAGCTTATTACTCATACATTCTGTGCCAAACAATGACATATGTATTTTGTTTTTTCCAAACAACTAAAGATGAGTGTTTTGAAGGTACACTTCATTTTAAATATGGGAAATATTTTTCACAGTTAAAAACTATAAAAAAATCCTAATTTTCCAAAAGCACAGTTGGTATGCTATGCATGGTGGTTTGGAAGAAAGTGGCCCTCATAGGGAGTGGCACTATTAGGAGGTGTGGCTTTGTTGTCATAAGTGTGGCCTTGTTAGAGGAAGTGTGTCACTGTGGAGGTGGGCTTTGAGGTCTCCTTTGCTCAAGCCACACTCAGTGTGATACACAATTGTTTTCTGCTGCCTGTGGATGAAGATTGTAGAACTCTGAGCTCCTTCTCCAGCACCATGTCTGCCTGCATGCTGCCATGCTTCCTGTGATGATGATAAAGGACTAAACCTGTGACCTGCAAGCCAGCTCCAGTTGGTCTTCCTTTATAAGAGTTACTGTGGTCATGGTGTCTCTTCACAGTAGTAGAAACCCTAAGCGGGACAGTATGCCAAAGATGTTGATGTGTAAAGCTACAAACACTTCTAAATGCATGGAAATTTTGGAGTTGTACTTTTAAACAGGTTTGGGGTTTGCCTAAATGCTATGAGTTAAGTTCTGTAGAATTTAAATTCTGTAGAAAATGGTTGGATTCTTTCTTTACATACTAAATATGTTCGTCATTTTATTTTCAACAAAGTGTTTTAGAGAAATGAGCTTCCCTTCTTTTTAATTTAAATGAGAAACAAGCTTTTTGCCAGGCATTGGTGGTGCATGCCTTTAATCCCAGCACTCAGGAGGCAGAGGCAGGCAGATCTCTGTGAGTTTGAAGCCAGCCTGGTCTACAGTGCGAGTTCCAGGACAGTCTCTAAAACAGTACAGAGAAACCCTGTCTCGAAAAACTAAAAAAAAAAAAAAAAAAAAAGAAACAAACTTGTCTCACACGTCAATCCCAGCTCCCTCTGCCTCCCACCAACTTCCACAACCCCCACCCAATCACCACTCAGCTCCCCAGGGAGGGTGAGGCTCTCCATGGGGGATCTCCAAAGTTTGTCATATTATTCTGGCCAGGGACTAGGCTCCCCCCTCCCAATGTGTCCAGGCTGAGAGAGCATCTCTCCATGTGGAATGGGCTCCCAAACTCCATCTATATGCCAGTGATAAATACTACTACCCAAGGTCCCATAGACAGCTGAGGCTTCCTCACTGACATCCATGCTGGCCTCTCAGCTATCAGTCTGGGGTCTATGAGCACCCCCTTGTTCAAGTCAGTAGTTTCTGTGGGTTTTATCAGCCCATTATTGACCCCTTTGTTCATCACACCTCCTTCTCTGCAACTGGGTTCCAGGAGTTTAGTTCATCGTTTGGCTGTGGGGTATCTGCCTCTGTTTCCATCAGCCACTGTATGAAGGCTCTAGGATGGCATATAAGGTAGTCATCAATCTCATTATCAGGAAAGGGTATTTAAGATCGCCTTTCCGTTATTGCTTAGATTGCCAGTTGGTATTATTCTTTTAAATCTCTAAAAATATCATTAGTGCCAGATCTCTTCTAAAACCTCTAATGACTCCCTCTATTATGGTATCTCTCATCCTGCTCTCAATTCATCCCTCGACTCAACCTTCCTACTCCCCCATGTCTTCCTCTCCCCTCCACTTCTCCCTCTCTCTTTCTCCCTGCCCCCTCTTCCCTGACCCCATGCTTCCAATCCACCTACGAGATCCTATCCCATTCTCCTTCTCTGGGGTACAATGCATACTTCTCTTAGGGTCCTCCCTGTTTCCTAGACTCTCTGGTGGTGGAATTGTAGACTGGCAATCCCCTGCTCCATGTCTAAAACCCATATATGAGTGAGTACATACCATGTTTGTCTTTTTGTGACTGGGTTACCTCACTCAGGGTGGTTTCTTCTAGTGCTATCCATTTGCCTCCATTGTGTAAATGTACCACATTTTCTCTATTTAGTCTTCAGGTGAGGGGCATCCAGGTTGCTTCCAGGTTCTGGCTATTACAAATAATGCTGCTGTGAACATAGTGGAACAGACATTCTTATTGTATGAATGTGCATCTTTTGTGTATATGCCTAAGAGTGGAATAGCTGGGTC